CACCCCGAGCATACCTTGTCACATGGGATCGATCCCCTTTAAAGCATCAATGGCCATCTTTGGGCTGCCTGTGTCTATTGATGAAGAGTCACAGTGGTTAATGTACAGCCACCAGTGAGGTCTGCCAGCCTAGAAGCCCAGTGCAATCCTTATTCACTGCAGATCAGGAGATGTGGGCTACCACCACTACTGCTTTCCCTGAAGCAGTTTGGGTGCAGGGGTAGAAGAATCCATCTCTTCCTTAATTGTTAAGTCATGGCACTGCAGCCCTGGATACTCATGTTAGAGATCTATAGTTATATAGCTCTTTTAATTTGCACACATGAACATCACACATAGCTGTTTTCCCCATTGCACATCTGCATTGCTAAGGCGGTAGGTCTTGGAAGATTTTAAGTCTAAGCCATACACAACTATCCCCCTTCTCTGTCCCCAAGGCTTGCTTCATTTCCCGCTTCATTAAGTCCAATGTCATTGTAACAAGGCAAGGTTTTCCCTTGAAAGCAAAGGCATATAGTACAAGCCAAGAAATGAAACCATTTAATTTTTTCCCATTGTGAGTGCAAATGAGGGACACCATCGTTCAGTGACAATAAGATCTTCCTAGAGTACCAAAAGAGCTAGTGTTCCAGTTCTGTCTTGATCATTACATGTGATAACTACTGTGAAAACAGGGGAGGGGCAGCTGCACAGAGAAACATGTTTTCTAAGCTGATTATTAAAAGGATGAGTAGAAGTTTGATGGGAGGAAAGGGCATCGCAGGCAGAATGAACAGCACGGACAAAATAAGACATATAGTGTTCAGAATGGCCTCAGCTCAGGAAGCATATGAGGCAGTGGAAAGAGTTGAAGCTGAAAAAATGCATTGAGGTCAGATCATGGACCTTTACTTTCAACGTGAACTTTACTCTTTAGAATAAGCTCGTAGGAAGTTTTGAATGATTTTAAGAAAGGAATTGGCATGATTGAGTTTGATCTTAAGATGATCTTGAAAATGAGAATGTAGTTTTTATTTTTAGGTATCTTGCTGTATATAATAATAGTAATAGTAAGTTAATATTTAATACTTAAATGTTAACTTTTTCTTTTTTTATATATATTTTAATTTGTATTAAGTTCTTACAATGTGCCAGACTCTATGCTAAGCCTTTTTACAAAATGTATTATCTGATTGAATCCTCCCAAGAACTTTATGAAAGGATTCTGTAATTTTCCCTATTTTACAGCCAAAGAATCCAAAGATTGGAGAGAGGTTGATTAAATTGCCCAAGTTCATATAGTAAGAGAGGGCATGAATTGAAACTCAAGGAGTTTGGTTCCACAATACTAGTTTTAACTTTTGGAGCAGTGGTCTTTAATCCTAACTGCAAACTAGAATCACCAGGGGAACTTAAAACAAAAACAAACAGACCCCAGAATCCTCAATTAAATCAAAATTTCTGGGGACAGGGCATGGGTATCCGTATATTTCAAGAAGTTCCCCCAAGTGATTCCAAAAGGCAGAGAAGGAAGAGATCTTCCGAGTTAGACTACACTGTCACCTTAACGTACACTGAACAGTCCTAAACATCTGTGTTCCACCATCACCACCTCAAAGTGACAAGGAAAATAAAACAACTCCTAAATAGAAAAATCACAGAATACAAAGACTTTCAGTGCTCTTTGCCAGCTTTACTCACAAAGAAAAATATGGCCTTTACCTTTTTTAAGACTGCCAGGCAGCACAGAAGCAAAATCAAAGAGGGTAGGGACAAAAAGGCAAACATGACAGAGGTATATCAAGATAGGAAGGAAGAGAATAGCTGAAATTGGGGTTGCTGGAGTAATAAGACACTATCTGCCCATTGTAGTAAGTAATAAGTAATAAGAAACTGACCCGTTGGTAACATGGAAGGCACATTTGCAGAACGTTTCCTTTTCAGTAATTGTACAAAGACTCCCTCGCCATTACAAAGCACTTTTCTTCTTGGCAGATTGAAGAATGCTTTACCAACTAAATGCATCCCAGTAATATTCAGAGCTCAGGTCCAACATAATCATAAGATGCCTTGTTATTACGGAGGTAGCAGTCCCATTTAATAACATATTAAATGAATTATTCATTTATGTAACTGAGACCCATGGACAGCTGCTGGGATGAAAATAGAACCATTCTGCAATGCAAAAAGCAGGTGTGTGCTTACTTGGGTAAATGAACTCTGTATTACAGCACAATTTTCTTCTAAATTTCAGGGACAGGTCTGGTGGGGCTAATGTGATGCTATTTCATACAGGAAATAAAATGGTTTCAGAATGGTTTTTAATGAGCATTTAAAAAAAAATTACCAACAGTCTTCTCTGTGGCAGAATCCCAGGGGGGGTGGCTTCGTGCTTTGGATTTAAGCAGAACTCCTGATGTTGCAGGATTCAGAAAAGCCTGAGATGATGATTGGTCAGAACAGCGACAAACAAAAGGAATATTCTGTAGCTGATGATGCTAGTGGTGATGGTGAGCCCATGCTTCTATAGCTGCTCTCCAAGAGAGAGTCACAGGTGTGCTTGGATGCCAAGTAAATAAAAATTATAACTTGACTTTAGTTTGCATGGTGCCTCACCTCTACAACATGCAGGCAGTCTGTGATGCACAGTTAAACTCACTGAGATGCCATAATTATCCTGGGTGGTATTGCTGGCCATGTTCTTGCTGCCATTGCTGGCACCAGAATGCTGCCATTCTCCAATGTCGGCACCATGTTTTTTTATTTCCTTCTCTCCTCTACCTGCCCTTATTTTCTCTTTCAATATGCATACACTCATAAGCACTTACAAAGTATTTTTTTTTTTAATACCAGATGGGATGATGTTCAAATGCTCTGACATGAAAATGACTAATCAGAATGGGCAGTGATCTCAGTGCTAGAGCAGGGTTTTGGAGAACCCTGATGTGCTACGTGTTAACTCATTAGTTGCTGTTTTATGAAAAAAAAGTGGAGACTTGGCTCCGGTTCTGTTCCTGCCTGTAATCCTAGCACTCTGGGTGGCTGAGGTCGGAGGATCACTCGAGGTTAGGAGTTTGAGACCAGCCTGAGTAAGAGACCCTGTCTCTACTAAAATTAGAAAGAAATTAAATGGCCAACTAAAAATATACAGAAAAAAATTTAGCTGAGCATGGTGGTACATGCCTGTAGTCCCAGCTACTCAGGAGGCTGAGGCAGTAGGATTGCTTGAGCCCAGGAGCTTGAGGTTGCTGTGAGCTAGGCTGACGTCATGGCACTCGAGCCCAGGCAACAAAGTGAGACTCTATCTCAAAAAAAAAAAAGAATTTAGCACAATGACTAGAGCATAGCACTCTCTATGAAATTCTTACTATTTTTACTATCATAGTCAGGGAAATTTTCTTAGAGAAGATAGGAAGTAAGCTGTACCATAAAGGGTGAGTAAGTTTTAGAAATTTTAAGCAGCTGATGGGACATGCAGGGGACATAGAAGCAGAAAGAGCAAAAAATAAAAAGTAATTTCAAGAGGACTAAAAATAGATAGAATGGGGCTTTGGGCTTGTTGGGGAGAAACAGTTCAGAACAGTAGAATGAAATTAGCTTGTAGAGAGCTTTATGCCCCCATGCCCAGGATTCCAGGGTTTGCAACTATATCCTAAGGGCCTTCTGAAACCAGGGAGGAGAAACAATAATAATAAAATTAAATAAAAATAATTGGCAACATTTCATGAACACTTGCTAAGGATTAGGGTGGTTCTGCGTATTCTGAATACATTAATCCATTAATTCTTATAGCCCCCCCGTAAGGTGAGTGAAGTGTTAGTGGACCTTGTACTGATCTGTAAAGTTCAAAGCACTTTTCTAGATGGTATCTCCTTTGACTTTCTCATAGAGGAAAGGGCACGGGCTAGACTTAAATAGATTGGAGAACTATGCCAGTTTGGTAAATAGTTTTACTGGAGTCCAGCTCCGTACATTCTTTTCTATATTATCTACACCCATTTTCATGCAACTGCAGAGTTCAGAAGTGACAAAGACCATACAGCCTACAAAGCTAAAATATTTACTATCTGGCCCTTTATGTAAAAAGTTTGCTGACCTCTGGTCTGGAAGAATGGAGAGTAGGTTTTGATTGCCTTCAATTTGGGCTCTAGGCAAGTAACTAACTCGAGGCAAGTAGACTTGGGAAATAAAATACAGAAATAAGTAAAGTAGTTGCTATGGACGCAACAGTAAAAAAGACAATGAATAGGTAACACTGAACTTCAAAAATCTTAAGGTTTGGTCATCCTAAAATTACAGATTCTAATTTACTATGAATCTGATAAATTATATAGGATAAATGTGTAGGATAATTCATTTTTTCTATTAAAATTAAAAGAGATAAGCAAAAGAGTAGGAAGGGTTTACTCAAGTAAAAACTGAAGCCTCTTTAATGTGAAGTTTCAGTAGTTTACCTGACATAACCTTCCATGAAATATTGAGTAGAAAATATCAAATTTAGCCAACTTGTTCTGCACTACAACATTACTATAGCATTCCCTATGAGATCTAATGTTGAGTTATATATCCATAATAATCTATTATTTGCCAGAATTGCAAATCCCCGTGCAATATATATTACTCATTCTAGTCCTTAAGTACATAGCCTTTGAATTATTTCCTAGATTATCCATTTATGTCTCTTCAACTAGATTATAAACTTAGTGAGAGCAGGGACCATATCTTGTATGGCATTTCCCATAGCTCCAAAATAAAGAAATGATTTATTAATTGATTAGATGAATAAAAGAAGTCAATTAAAATGCTAAGAATTCGATATAATGTGTGACCATGATTATTTATCTCTCTACTGGGTGCTTTATATGAATTAGCCCTACGAGCTTTGTATGAATTGGTAACATGAAAGACAGTTAGGTGCTTATTGATGGTCCTCAGGGCTAGGCACTTTATTCCGTTTGAAGACTTGGGAGTGATTGACATTGTAATGAGCTGCTTTACGACTTGAGCTTTTCTCCATGTAGGTATAGGAAGGTGGTTTCCAACAACTGCACTGATGGCGTAAGAGAACAGTACACTGCCAAGCCACAGAAGTGTCCGGGAAAGGCCCCCCGGGGGCTGCGGATCGTCACGGCTGATGGAAAGCTGACAGCAGAGCAAGGGCACAACGTTACTCTCATGGTGCAATTGGAAGAGGTGGGACTGATTCCTATCCCCCTTCTATTAACACTTGCTATGACAGGTGATGTCTCCTAATAAATCATGGTTTTGTTTATATGCCTTCTTCAGCTTTCTCAATTTTATATGCCATTGATTTTTTTTAATTTTATACTAATTTTAGCTCCTTGTTTTTTGCTGTTGTTATCATTTCACCTTCCCTGACACATTTCTACAGTTACTTTCATTTTACTGCAAATTGTTCTTCACTCTATTTTTTTTTTTTCTGAGATGGGGTCTTGCTCTTGGTCAGGCTGGTCTCAAACTCCTGATCTCAAGTGATCCTCCTCCCCCCAGAGTGCTAGGATTACAGGTGTGAGCCACCCAGCTTGGCCTTTCTTCACTCTTTCTTAATCTCTTACTTATGGGGGATTCTATTTGGATTTAACCTTGCCTTACTGGCCCTTTTAGCAAAATATTATCTCAGAATACATTAATGCTATTCCTAGAATAATGTAATACACACACATAACCAACCAACCTAAAAGATTCTAATTCTTTCATTCTCTCTTAGCCTGAAGTCTTGGCTTTTCTTTTCCAAAGGCAATATCATGGTCATTCATATGGCTCTGAGGGTAATCTAAACATAAGTGGGTATAAATTCTTTGGCAATTGAAGGTTTGCATTTTTGTAATACCTCAGGGATATCATTATAATCATCAATTATTATTTACCAGGCTGTGACTGTCTGAAATGTCTGTTCAGATGGTGGATAAGATGAAATTGATCTTATGTATTTTAGAGTATACACAGGAATTTTGTCATCTTGTAAATGAGGAAGATGGTCCCTAAAGTGTAAGCACTTGCATTAAATCATTTCAATCTTTAAACCAGGCCTTCCTACCCTCAACCATGTTTTCTGCGTACCTAAAATATATGCAGTGAGCACTGTGCTAGACACTGTGGATGCAAAGGGATTTTAAAAGTTAATAACAACACCAGGATTAAAATATGTAACATTGACTTCCAGTTTCCTTTTCTGATAGCCCAGGGGTCTCAGTCTTTAACATGCATAAGAATCACCTGTAGAGCACATGAAAACCACTTTTCTTGGCCACATCCCTGAAGATTCTGATTCAGTGGATTGGGGTGAGGCCCAAGAATATGCATTCTAACAAGTTCACAGGTTATGCATTGAGTTTTAGAAAAATAAAACAATAAGACCAAGGCTAGGAGTACAGAGAAATCAGAGGCTCTGGGGTATGACTTAAAGGGGAAAAGATGAAGTGATTAAGATAGTTTTATGAGGTTTGATCAAAATGATTAGTATTTTAATTCCTGCCAGAAAAATAATGAGGTTGAAACTCTGGCTTAGATCATGCTCATGCTTCTGATCCCCAGGCTACTTAAAGAACCACTGCTGTGGCCAATATTCCTTTCCTAGTTATCTCCTTAATGAGTGCCTTTCAACCACACCCAATCTTCTAAGCACTAAGGTTCCCAAAATTCTTCAGTTGGAACTAGCAAGATACAGGCCAATTTAGGCCAATCAGATTGCTCATACTTTATATAAATAAACTCTTTAGGGACTTCTGCCTGAAGCTATAACAAATTAGCTTGCAGCAAACGCAAATGAAATATATACATATATATATATATTTAGAGTGAGAGGGACAGAGAGAGGGAAAAAGAAAAAAGGAGGAAGGAAGAAGAGGAAGCTTCAGGGAGGATTGGAGCATGCAACGATTATGAAGAGATAGAAAAGCTAAAATTATTTTCTCCAGAGATGGGAAATTCACAGGGGTGGGTCCAACACTTGATGCCATATTTCCTGTCAAGAACCCTGTCAATCCATATGCCACACCATACAAGAGGTTCAGATTTCAGATTCCCACAAGGCTTGAAAGATAAAAATTGGACTTTGGGGATACCAAAGCAGCTGGGACTGATGAAGTCACATCCCAGAGAGAGGGGAGGCATAGAGAAGCAGTACATGTCCTTGTATTTTACCTAAGTGTGACAGGAAAAATAGAAAATAATCACTACGAGGATGAGAAGTTAAGCAAGGTTTTCAGGAGTATTACACTTTGGGAAGATGAAAATTTGAATCCAGGGCTTATCAAGCAGGAAGGCCCTTGTGAATAATACAAGACTTGGTTCTTGAGATCCTGGGACAGCCCTATCCTAGAAGTAAGGACAAACCATAATGAAACCAGGCCCTCTGTACCCTGAACTCCAATCTAAGGTCACTCTGTCTCTGAATGGGTTAGGGTGATTTTCCCCAACTCTCAAATGCCTGTTAGATACCAAAGTAAACCATCTAAGGAAAATAAAACAGAAGCTTTATCTATTTTTGATATAAAATATTGGGCATTAAAAAAAAATTCAGGTATGTCAAGAAGGCAGGACCAAGAGCGGGAAAAAAGCAACAGAAAAAAGAATAATAGGTGGCTGAAATACAGTATTTATTTAAAATATACTTAAAATAGCAATGATTAATATGTTCATGAGTATTAGACAAGATGGAAAAATGAATCCTGGAGCAATAATGAGTATTAAATATCAAATGGAAGTTGTAGAAATAACTGACATAATATAGTCAGATATAACAACTGATATTAAGAACTTAAGTTTATAGCTGATTAAACCTATATGAACAGAGGACAAGTTAAATCTAAGAAAGGACAGCAGGAAATATTCCATCCAGAACATAAGAGGAAGGAGTAGAAAATAGAGAGAAAATAATAATGTACGAATGAAAGCGGTGGGAAGGGCTAACCGCATGTAACTGCAGCCCCAATACAGGAGGAAAGAGATAAGGAGCCAGAATCATTTTCGAAGAGGTAAAGGCTGAGAATTTTCCAAATCTGATGAAAGATATCAATGTATCAATACATAGATTTAGGAGAATCAGCTAACTTCAAAAAATATATATACAAAGAAAAACTACACTTAGGTATTCAAATTGCTGAAATCTAAATATGAAGAGAAGCTTTTAAATGCAGCTCAGAAGAAAATAGAATGGCATCTTTGAAGTGCTGTGGAAAACACAAACATGAGAGTATATATTAAAAATATTTTTAAGATAAAAACTGAGATATGTGTCATATAAGGCAATTTCTCTAAAAAGAAAGGTAAAGATAATATTAAAGGTAATTCTTCAGGCTTAAAGAAAATAACCCAAGAATAGAGAACCAATAGTAATAATGAAAGGAATAAAGAAAAAGAGAGTAAATATTGAAATTAATAATAACTATGTAGACCAATAATGATAATCAGCTGAGGGACTCAAAATATATATAAAATTAAAATGCATTATAACAGTGACACAGAATGTGGAGCAAATTAAATGGAGCTAAAGTAGTTTAAGATCCATGAAATGTCTGTAATGAGGTAAAAATTACATTCGAATCCAACATGCCCAAAATGTGTGCTTCAATATCTTGAATAACAACTAAGAGGAGTAAGAGAATGTTTAATTATCAAGCTATGGACAGGGGAATTGAAATAACTTTAAATTTTTTTCGTTAATCCAAAATAAGACAAGAAAAGCAAAAAAAGGAACATAATACAGTTGAGACAAATAGAAACACATACTAAAATAGTTGATATAGACTCAAATATTACATTAATAAGAATTATTAATTTTTGTGTCTTGCTTAAGAAGTCTGTGTCTAACCTAAGATCATGAAGATACCATATCGTGAGATTTCTCTTTTGCTATCACATTAATATCTATGACCCATAGTGAATAAAATTGTTTTAGGTAGGGGTCAAGGTTTATATATTTTGTTCATATGCATATCCCATTGACCCAATATCATTGAAGGGCCTGAAAAAACAGCCATTTTTCTTTCAGATCATCTGAGAGAAGGTGAAATCTCACGTATCTAGTCAGATAATTTGGTAGGCTCACAGTGTGGGCTGTCTGGCATCCCTGGCCTTGACAGAGCCGAGTTCTCTGTCAGAATAAGACCTTGTGCACCATCATCTTCGCTGAGGTAACTTCATCCTTCATGGCAGAGCGTCCAGGTTCACTGTTGCCTCTGCTTACAGAGAGGCTCAGGAGTCCTGCACATTTGGAGAGACATCTGTGCTTTAGAAAACATCTCTGAGCAGGCAAGGGGGGAAGGCAGACAATATTATTCTGCAATATTTAGTGTTCAAAAGAACACTAAAATAATAAGAAGAATCCAAGACCAAAATTGGCTATATCTCATCATCCATCAAAATAATGTCTGTGTTATCTTCTGGTTATTTCTAATATCTTAATCCATATTTAAATTATTCACAGTAATAGAAGAGGCAGAATGTATATTTTGCAATGTTTCCTGTACTATATCATACCCTACCCCCTTTATAAATTTGATGAAATCTTAATTTCCCTTCATTTGCTCCTTCTCTCTTTTAGTCCTGCTGTTCTCCTCCTGCCCCCAATCCCCTACTCCCACTTTGATTCACTTCCTTTTTTTATATTTCAGCATATTATGGGGGTACAAATGTTTAGGTTACATGGGTTGTCTTGCACCCCACCGCTGTGGTTCAGGGTAATCAATATCAACCATCTTGGTTATATTTGCCAGTGTCTTTCTCTATTCTCATGCAAACACACACAGGTTTATGGTATATATATATATATAAATATTTATAATATATATAAATATATATATTAAAAATAAGGAAAACATGGTATATATATATATACCATGTTTTCCTTATTTTTTAATAAAAATGGGTTATACTAGTCATTTCTCTACAATATAGTTTTTGCTGCATGATCTTTCAGCTCCCTTCCAAGACAAATGTTGGTGAGGCCCAAGTCAGGGCCACTGTGGAGGTTGCGTGGGCCAGGCTCTGACATATGAGCCTCGTTTCTGTCTGCAGTGGTTCTCTGATGCCTTAAGGGGTGTCTCGGAGTCTCATTTCTGGACTGAGCCTGTCTGTGTTGAGTTTCCGTAGCATTTGTTTTCCCATTCTTCTCTGAATCTGTGTTACAAGAACTGATAGGTTCACACACCTTTCATTGCTCAGGTTAACAT